GAATGTATTTTTTGAAGTATCATTTGTCTATTTCTTTTTCTCTCCTGTTCCTCCTAGCAATATGATACAACTGAGACATATCATACTAGAATACCCTTTAAATTCCATGGAGAGAGAATGAGTAAAAAACAAACCATGTAAATTTAACTCTCAAATACATACAAATGTATTTTTTATAATTCTTTTAATTCTAAGAATTCCGATAACACACAGATTTACTTCTGTTTCTGGAAAGTTACAGACTTACCACGAAACTTTGAGGCTTCAGGATCATTCACATTGATAGCAATTAATTTCCAATCTGTTTCACCCTGATCAATAAGAGCCAAAGTTCCAAGGATCTTCACAGGAATAACCTCTCCACAAGAAAGAACCTTTAAAGAGCAAAGAAATTTACATTTGCAAGGCTTTGGAGAAGTTTACTCATACATCATAACAATCCATATGAAAGATGTAAAGCACTATATAGACTGAAGTTTAATAGAGGTTCGATAATTAAAAATATTGTAAAAACAGTCATAAAGTCTTTTAAAATTATCTTGACCCCTTTCTGGAAACTGAAGTTGTTTATAGATCTTGAAATTTAATGTATGAGGCTAGAACTCATTAAACAGAAAACAAATCCATGTATATCATTATATAATATAAACCTGACTCCTGCTGCTTATGGGTAAAAAGAGACCTGAGAATTCTTTTAAATTGCTTCATAGTACCTTTTTTGCAAAACTCATTTTTCAGTTACTAGGGAAAGGTAAAATTTTAACATATTAGAATATAGACTTAAGAAGATAATGAATGACAATGAACGAATTATTAATATTTTAAAGATACAGACAATATAGGGTTCATAAAATGCTTTAAAAAGACTTAAAGAGAAACCTAGAAATAGCATGATGCTGAAGCAGATGTTCCATGTGCTAAAGAAAGTTATTTCAGTGGTTCTTTCGAGGTGCCTATGCCAAGTTCATATGCATGCATTCTTCCCATATCCCTTTATTTTTAAAGGTTTAGTCTGCTACAGAATTTCACTGCAAGCTGAAGTTTGAACACATGCTTCAGAATAAATTCCTTCATGATTCAAAATGCAGCTTTACATTTGGAAAGCAAGGTATTTATGCAAAAGACTGTCACTTTTGTGTCTTGAAATTATTTAAGACAAAAAATCAGACATTAAACCATAGTCAAATAAATCCTTTCAGAACATTTGCAAAATGAATCCAAAATCTTAACATAAATCTACACAAAGTTGTAATTAGTTTACACAACAGATTAGTGAAATTGTATAAACTAAACTGAAATCTCACTTTCAGGAGAATATACATAATTATATTAACCAGACTCTCACATATTTAGGCTCTATTAAGTACCCAGCACCATATTAGACACTATGTGTATAAAAAGAAAGGATCCTTGTTCTCAAAAGGTTTACAGTCTTTCTGGAGAGATTTACATACCTCATGCCAGGAGATCCTATAAAAAATCAAAATGTTCAAATTCAAAGTTATCACATAATCACCAATGAAAGGCCGGTTACATTGGTTAGCTCAGTGATAAACTTAGATCACTGGTTCTCAACCAGATGCAATTTTGCCCTCTAGAGGACATCTGGCATTGTCTGGAGATATTTTTGGTTGTCAAACTGGGGAGGTATTACTATCATCTAGTGAGAAGAGGCCAGGAATGCTGCACAGGACAGTCCCTTGTAAAGGACTTAGCCATCCAAACATAAACTGGGTCAAAGTTGAGGGGCTCTGCAGTAGATCTTGGTGGCAGGGTGTCTATGGGAATTCTTGGGACTCACATATAGTTTTTAAAAGCGTATTCTAACTTGTTTTTTTATTCACAAAAATTAACTTACTTTGACATTTCATACATCATAAGGGCATATTTTTTATGGTCACCATGACAGGTAGGAAGTATGTCTGGAGATTATCAAGCTTCATCATGATGCATGCTCTTTGGTCTCATAAGCAACATAAAGGAACTAGACAAGCCATTGCCTGGTTAAATCACCATTACAAATTGGAAAGGAAACTCGGTCAAAATAAAAATTCTAGTTAAGATGGCTAGGATCAAACATTAAAATTTGTATGTGTCCCCCGCAATTCAATTCATTCTAAATCAATTCAACAAATTTATGCTGAACATAAAATGTCAGACACAAATGAATGATACATAATCCCTCAAGGAACTTAACCTTTAAACAATGTCTATTTTCTGTGGTTCTAAGTCTACTATCAAGTTCCAGGACTCTGCTCCTTTCCCTTGGCCCATTTACAATGTGGTGTTAAACAGGCTGTCTATCACCATGCACCTTACAGATGATTTAAGGACTCTTGCATAGCCAGGCATGAAACTAAGGAGCATAGTCTCAACAAAGACCTATTCTTTAGATGGCGATTAAGTACATACTTCATATTTACTAAATGTTAGTTCAAATTTCACTAACTAAAGGAATAAATTGCTCTGGCTAGGAGATAAAACCTATTTTCCCAGCTCCATTATAAAATTATCAGTCTACTCTTCCAAGGAAATTAATGCATATAGCATATTCTGTTACTAATTCTTGGGGAATCACAGAGTTCACCAAGTTTAGAAAAATGAGTTGAGATTCTTAAACAAGAATATATGAATGTGCCAAAGGTTTTAAGCAGAATTAGAGTAGGATTCATCAACTTTTCTAGCTATCACGGAAAGACTTTGAAAGATAGGATTTTTAAGTCACAAATACGTGGGGTTGAATCTTCTACTACCCTGAACAAATTGCTTTACACAACATTTTAGGTCTTGGTTTCTCGACAGTAAAATGGAGATCATATTACTTATTCCTTAAAGAGTAAAGGAAAGATACATGAACTAGAACATAAGAGGTCTTCTTCCACAGATATTAGTATTTTTTCTGTCTGGTCTCTATATGTACTTAGCTCACATCTGTCAACTGCTAACTCTCAGGAGCCTGGTATAAGCAGAACATAATAGTGGCCTACCACAAAAATTCTATGCTGATTCAGAATTCGAAGAATGAGGTAAAACTTCAATTGGACCCAATTAATACAAGAAAACCCTGGAAAACAAAACTCTTTAAGGGCTGTTATACTGTGTATTAGGTTTCTATTGTAGTTTAACAAATTATTATAAACCTAAAGGCTTAAAATAGTGTAAAGTTATTACCTCACAGTTTCCATGGCTAAGGAGTCCAGGCACAACATGACCTGATGCTGTTTATGGCCTGACAAGGCTGAAATCAAGGTATTGGCCAGGCTGGGCTTTGATATGAAGGTCCAAAGGAAGACTCCACTGAAATTTAGTTCCTTGCAGTTATAGAGCTGAGGTCCCTGTTAACTTGTTAGATGTCAACCAGGGATGGTCTCAGCAACTAGAAGCCAAGTGCATTCCTTTTCACATGCCCCGCCTTCCTCCATCTTCAAAAGCATTGGTCTAGCAGTATTTCTCATACTTTGAACCTCTGACTTTCTCTTCTACTACCAGCCAGAGAAAGCTCCTTACTTCTAAGGGCTTATGTAATTCCATGGGACCTGCATGGGACATCCAAGATAATCTCTCTATTTTAAAGTAAACTGTGCTCTATAAAATAATACAATCAAGAGAGTGATATCATATTCACAGATTCCAGAGATTAGGGCAGATGACTTTAATGGGCCATTTTAGGAACTCTGCTTACCGTAACCAGTTATCCCAAAAGAAATTAAAAAGGAAAAGCTATATTCAGGAAAACCTTTAACTATACCAACTCTACAACAGAAAATAAACTGGGAAAAAATGCCCAATAAAATCAAAATGTTTATTTATCCAAAGAGGAAGAAAACAGAAAGAGAAAAACAATATGACTTTTGGGATAGTAAGATTGTGAGGGAAGGCTGAAGCTTCATTTTATTTCCATTAATATAACTAAAATTTTCTTGAACAATAAATACTGTTGAAGGGGGGAAAAAAACCCCTAAAAATTGAAGGAATCTAGGTCAAACATAAAAACAAAACCAGGCAAAAGGAAGAAATTTGTTCCCATGGAAAAAAAAATAAAACATCTTAATGGTTACTGGGTTAAAATAGTAGCTAAACCTAAAATATTATATCTTGGATACTCTCTAATTCTGGTTCCTTCTTGGTTTCTTTTACAAGCTCCTTTTCTTCTACTGACTCCTTACAGATTGGTTAGCTTGAGGGGTGTGCCCTTGCCCAACTCCTTCTCCTCATATAGGAAGTCCCCTGGTGATCGAACGCCAAGCATTCCTAGTTTTGCTCTCAAATATCTCCAGCTCAGCCCTACATACTCAACTTCCTACTTCTGCACCTACATGTCTCCCAGGTACCTCAAACTCATCATGTCCAAAGCTGGGTTCATCTTTTCCTCCTCTCCTATTCGCTCCTCTCAGTATTTTCAGTCTCAGTGAGTAACATCTCTCCTCCTTCCCTCCCCACCCCCAGATTCTTAAGCCAGACACAGAGGGGTCATCCTTGATCATTCTTTGCTTTTCTTCATCTCATTAATCATGAAATATTGACTCTATATTCTAAATGGCCTTTAAATCTATTTCTTTCCATTCTCCTTGCAGCTAGCTTTGTCTAGTTCGCTATTTTCTCTCTCTTGAGTTATTCCTGCTACTGACCAGTTTCCTTTACGAAAACAGGTGGTGAGCTAGATTTGACCTGCCATGGGCTGCAGTTTACCAATCCTTCATTTAAGAGAAGGAAATAAAATAGGAAGTAAAGATACAAAAAGGGACTGATATCAGAGGGATCAATAGGCTAGAACTTTAAATAGCTGAAGAACCGGTACCTTCAAAAGAGAATGGAAATTTTGTGGTGTAAATAAACTAGAACACGTTAGAATAACACGGTCTGTACAACGAACCTTTGAGCCTATTTCACAAACATCAATAGGATCATCATCTCCACAGCAGTTTGTGCTCTTATCTTTTTGATGGGGATCTTCCCAAGTCTAAAAAAAAAGCGGGGGTGGTGGCAGAAATATAAGTTAATGCTTGCTATAATGTATCTTAATATTTCCACATGATCATGAAGTTTCACAAACAGCAATAATCCAAAGGAAAATTCTTGGAAATCAATAGGCTCAATGCCAACATGACAGTACATCCTTAAGCATAATAATTAAAACATATTTATATTATTTCCTCTCCTCTCTCACCTCTCTGTATAATCACATCTAAAAGTGGGTAGTATTTCCAAACAGATTGCCTTTCAAGTTTAATGAGTGCCTAAATTCATGTTCACTTTCCGTTTGAGTTCAGATGTTCCCATCGTCTACATCCTTGTTTCCACTGATTGCCTAACCTGTTGCTTCCATCATTTACTGCTTCCTTGGACAAGGTCTGGCGTTTCCGTGTTTGAAAACACATTTCCTATTCTTTAAAAGACTTCTACTAGAAGATACCCAGTTCTCCCTTCATAAACTAAAGAGCAAGATAGTGCCAGCCAAAGAAAATAAAAACCTATATTTGACTCATTTCATTCCATTTAAAAATTCTTCTACCTTTTCCATCAAATATCAAGACCTTGACAAAAATATGAAAAGCTGTCAACTCTTTAGTTTATTGAAAAGATTATAGGCTACAAAATATACATGGGGGCACATTTATAAATAAGTAGCATGACAGAAATTTGTTATCCAGTTTAAATATCCCCTAGGCACTGTTCTTCCCCAAAAGACTCATAATTATCAGATTCTAAAGGAACTGTAGAAATTCTCTAAAATTCTTTTCTTCATATTTACATTATAAAGATGTAGAGAGACTGTGTCATCTCAAGACTGTTATTTAGAACATCAGATTGTCTAAGCTTGGTTCCTATAATTTTATATAATTAAAAACAGACTCTTATTTTCAGCTAAACCCTAAATAAATTCTAATATTTTTCTTCTAGTCCTAATTACAGTATATTCAGGAATAAACTGACTCACTCTTACCCAAAAAAAAAAAAAAAAAAAAAATAAACCTTTACCAAAAAACACTTCATACCCCCCAACTAATATTACTAATAAAATATAAGAATAAATATAAATGTTAACCTTACATACTGGTTATAGGTGCAAGACACCTTCTAAGTGATACACACACACTCGCAGATATACATATATATACCCCATGAGGAATGGACCATTATTAAGCCCATTTTACAGATAAGTAAACTGAAGCACAAAGAGTTTAAACTTGTCCAAGTTCAGTTTCTCAATGGTGGCAATGGATTAGAACTCATGCTATTAATCATGATGTTATGATGCCCAGATTTTGATAACAACAGCAGTTAAATGGCAATGACTTTGAAATATAACCCTATTCCATTTCATGATCCTTTACTCTGAATCTCCTAAGTATAGTTTCCTGTGGAGGGTCTCTTCTGTCCTTCTGTTCCCATTACTGCTTCTTGTTTTCTATTACCTATCACCAGGCATCCATTCACACAGTAAATATTTACCAAGTACCTACTCTGGGCCAGGAACAGAGATAAATAGGACATAGTCAATACCCTGAAGAATGTCATGTTAATAAATGGTACAGCATTTGTCACAAATGCCATAAAATTAATCTTAATGTGCTGGAGAAACCAAGATGGGATTGAGGTATGACTGGATCAGGAAACCTAGAGGCAGAAGCAGAAAATACGAGCAGCGCCTCCTTCCTAAAACACGTAGGAGTATATATATTGTTACGACCCCTTTTATAAACAATTTGGGAATACTTAGTAAAGCAAAATAGGTGTGTAATTCATAATTTATCACTTTGACTCAGAGGTATAGACCTAGGAATTTATACTTATGTAAACTATGTATATAGAAAAATTTTAGCATGAACCCAAGAAAAGCATAAAAAAATTAAAAACAACCCATCAACAGGAATATAAATGCTAAACTCATACAAAAGATGGCTATAAAGTTATACAAATAAATAAATTAGAATACACAGATTATTGATCAAGCTTAAAACAAATCTTACTCATCCTCATGCAAGTGTTTGAGATCATTACCTTACAATCTATAAACATTAACTAATACATTTGTAATCACTATGCCCTGATCCCTGTATCTCTTCAAAAAATCATTGACTTGTACAGAGCTGTACATACAGGTCCTCCTTGAGAACTACTTCCTGATTAATCAGGATTCCTGTCACCAAGTCGAAGGAAGTAAGATCTCCTCAACCACTACTGTACTTTACCAGCTTCAATTTAAAGCAAAAGCCTCTACCAGTTGTTTCACTATTAGCAGCTAACGTCAGTAGCGACAGTGTCATCATCATTGAGATAATACAACTGAGAACTCACTATGTGGCTAAACACTTGGCTTTGATCATCTCATTCAGCATTCATAATAACCTTTTGGGGTAGGTGGTGTAATGACACACATGAACAAACAGACCTCGTGAAATTTAGTCACTGATCCCAGGTTATAAAACTACTAAGTGGTACTAAATGATACTTGGGGGTCAATGAACCAAATTTATAATAAAGTTCAAAATAATAAACGCAACGATATTACATTAAAACCAAAGAAATCTTGAATTTAGTGATTCTTGTCTTTTAACATTACCCAGACAGGTCTTCTAAATGTTTACTCAGAAAGATTGGGAGAAGACAAACAAAGATGATTTTTGCTCAGGCCAAACTCAGCAACTCTGAGGAAGGCATTATTGCTAGTGTGGGAGAAGTTATTAGGGTTAAACAGTCTAGACGGCTGACGGTCTGAAGTAATGACGGCACAATGATGAATCACAGCTAAGGGGAGAGACTGCTGCTTAAATAGCATTCTGCTGCTTATGTTCTTCCAAGCACGGTTGGCTTGGTAACTGCTCTCAACTAATTCCCTGCTGTTACAAGACAAACCTAAGAGAATAGTAAATTCAATACCTACATATGCCTATAAAACAAATGCAACACACACAATGCATTCATTTATTTATTCATTCCACAAATACTGATTACCTACTCTGTGCCAGGCACTAAGCTGGGCAGTTAGAAGACATCAGTGAACAAAAGAGACAGAATGTATGCCCTTAAGAAGTCAGTATTCTAACTGGAAGAAACAATAAACATAAATAACTAAATGATATAGCATGTTAAAAGTTGGCAGGTGTTATGGAAAAGGGAAAAATATAAAGTATGAAAGGTGGAAGGAGAGTATGGGAGGCTAGGTTAAAATTGTAAAGGATGCTCAGAGAAGACATTATGAAGACGGTGACTCCTAAACAAACATGTAAGGAGGATGCCATGT